TCGCGGTACCACGATGCTGAGTCTGCACGACTCGGAGTGGAGAAAAAAGCAGCGCCAAAAAAAAACAAACACATATAATAGAGGCGGAATGCCGTCGGGAGGATTCGAACCCCCTATCCCTCATTCTAGTTTTAGCCATCCGCCCAAATTAGGAGGTGGCCACCATAGCCCACGACAGCTTATTTCCTCAATCCTCACTGGGATATACTATGGGGGCCATGGGGTTCAATTAGCATTTGCCCAACCCGGTCCCAAACACATCCCGAGTAGAAACAGAGCATGCAAAATGAAAATGAAATGAAGTGAACTCGGCAATCAGACTCGAAACTCAGAACCAAACGCTGAACCAAAAAAGAAAAGTAAAAAATGGGAGAACTTCCAAAGCATGCCGATGCCGTCGGAGGATTCGAACCCCATCTCCCCAGTTAAATGGACGCGTAGATGTCTCTACTTGGCAGAGGCGGCCACCATGGCCCACGACAGCTTCATTTCCTTGATACTAGGCCACTAGGTGAGATAAGCTTAGCCTGCTTAGGGAACTCGAGTCCTGACTGAGAGGAACAGAAGATGTACTGAAAGCGAACATTTACACTGGTTACCGCGACTGGAGAACGAACTGGACAACGACTGTGCTCTGCTAGAAGTCGCGGAGATTGTGATTCTCACCTTGAGGTTGAAAGCCAGAATGAACCCCGGTGCCACAATGCTGAGTGCACGAGTGAAAAAACCAGCGCATAAATTAAAAATTAAAAAAATTAAAAAAACGCCTATCAAACAACAAATACCGTCGGGAGGATTCGAACCCCCTCTCCCTCATTCCAATTATGCCAAGACATTTAAATTGGGAGGGTGGCCACCATGGCGCACGACAGCTTCATTTCCTTGAATCGTGAGCCGGAGTCGATGCTCACTAAGAATTAAAATGTGCGAGCCCAAGGAGGTGATTGGGTTGATTCGATGGCGCATCAGCGCTGCCGCCGACCGCCTGCACCAAATTGGGAATTACCGCGAGCGCGGCGCTGATTCAAACTCAAAAAAAATACGAATATTCAACGTCAACGCCAGCGCCAGCGCTGCGCTGGAAGGGTCGAATTGCACTTAACTTGGATTTTTACAGTACTAGTAATTATTCTCATCGTTGGCTTGCGCATTGAACCGTAACGTTTTTGAGCCTTGAATGTTGAAACTAGAAGAACTTCCCTCACTCAAGTTGCACTGAATCACCAACCGAATGTCGAGCAACCGCATTACTATTAATTAGAACCACGACTTCTTCTACCTAAACTACAACTAAAATTACTCGTATACTACGTATTATCGTCGATATCCTGTGGGACGCGGGGCGTATTCTAAGGCGAGGTAAGAAGTGAAAGGTGAAAGAGCGACAGTGAGAGGAAACGAAACAAACGAAGGACGGTACAAGAGGGCAAGAGCAAGAAGTACAAGATAGTCCGGCGTGCGGTTCTTTCTTTCCGAGTCAGCGAGCGATAGCTCTTTCGAGGTCAGCGAGTGGGCGTTAGTTAGTACACGTCGTCCCCTTCCGCGTCAACGGAAGCGGGAAGGGCGAGCTCGGGCGGTGCGGCCATGCGCGCGTGCGCGCTCGGGTTGGGACGGGATAGGTACGCGCGGTGGGGGCGCGGGCGAGATTCGATGTTGGCGTCGTTGGTGTTGGCGCAACCTTGCGCTCGAGGCGGGACGAATACGACGACGATGATGCGGGAGTTGTAGGCGCAAGGTGGGAGGATGAAGCAAGGTAGGAAGGAGGAGGCGGCGGCGTCGAGCACCGCACCGGCACGAACGCGCTCGAGCGGCGCGAGAAAGAGGGCGACGGCGGGGGCGTGGGGAGTTGTTCGCGGTCTGGGTCTAGATCGTCAGCGTGGTCTCTGTCGAGATGGAGGTAGACGCCTGAATCCTCTGCTTCTGCTTCTTCCTCTCTTTCGTCCTGCTTCCCATACTCCTCCCGCTCCTGGCGCTCCTCGGTCGTAGGCACCCGACTCCTTACACGCGTCCGGCGTTCCCTCCCTCCCGCCCTCCGCATGCGTCCACCTGCCGTCAACGTCGAGGGCGAACCCCCCACCGACGTAGAGCCCGCCCCAGACGCAGAACGCAACCACCTCGCCGGACTCCCCCCAAAATAATGGTGCGTCCCCGGCAGGGCCTCACACGAGCGGTGCACGACGCGGACAGCGGCTTTCGCGAAGGGGTCTGACTCCGCTTCATAATGACCAATTGCGCTCGGACCGAGTCCCGCCATCGTGCGCTTGCTTGCTCCCGCACCCGGCGCCAAGGAGTCCCGCGTGACGACGCTCCACGGGCGGTCGAAGCTCGGGGAGGGGTAGGGAAGGGCGGAGGAGGAGTAGTACGGCGGGACGTAGGCGGAGACGTGGTTGTAGGCATGGGCATGGGCATAGGCATAGGACGACTCGTCGGAGGCAGAGGAGGCAGAGAACGTCGATGCGGTTGGGGAGGGCGGGGCGTGGGTATGGCTATGGCTCGACTCGGATCCGGAGGACGAGGGCTCGGGGGAAGCAGCGCCGCCAAAAGGGAAAGAAGGGGACGGAGACGCGCACACAAAGCCGGAGGGGTACGAGCGCGAGTACGGGTCCCCACCTTGGTGATCATGAAGCGCGCGCTCGTGCTGCGCAGGGAGCGGGAGGTACGGCGTGAACATCGAATCGGCGGCGCTGCTTCTGCTTCGGGCAGAGTCGGGATCCACTACGGAGGAGACGGCGACGCGCACGGACGCGGACGGCTTCGAGTATGTGCGCCGGCGCTTTACGAGTGCGGCCGCGCGCTTCTTGAGCTTGGTCAGTAGAAGACGGATGCGCGAGTGCGAGTGCAAATGGGACGGTGGAGACGAGTGGAGGCTCTGCGCAGAGGACTTTTTGCGCAATGCTGTAGGTATAGGTAAGGAGAGCGATAAGGAGGGGCTGGAATCGAGCGCGGCGGAGACGAGGGCGCGGAATTCGATGAGAGAGAAGGGCGGGAGGCGCGCTGGGGCCGAGACTGAACCCGGCGTTGTCGAGTCCATGGTGGTTGTAGTGGAAGAAAGAAAGAAAGGCGAAACGAGGGATGTTTATATAAATTCATTTGCCTGTGTCAACATGCAACCCGAGAACCCGTGTCATGTAAAAAATTGGAATGATGAGAAGAAGGAAGAAGGAAGGCGACGCGTCTATTTGCGCGTGCTTGACGTGCTTTGTCACTGCGTTGCTTCTCCTTCTGCCTTCTCCATTGTCGTCTGGCTTCCATAATTTACGCCCGAAGGGGTCTCATTGCGTTGCACCGGTCTACGACTTTTTCGAGGATTTCGTCGGTCAAAAGGACAGCCAGCCGAGTTGCAGGACGCCCGAAAACTTCCTCGGTTTCACTACCTCGCAATTCATTCTCCTGCTCTCATCCTGGTCTCTTGTCCTTCTCTTGGTCACTCTCTCTCCTCGCTCGTCGGGCATCTCGGGCTGTCTCCGTCTCCACGGTTTCCTCACTTTCATTTGTCTCCCACACCCTCCTCCAACATGCTCCTGTGGCGGATCTTCGCCTCCCCATCGCATGCAATAAACGTTAAACGTTAAAATCAGCACGAACGTTAAAGCTAGTCTGACAAGTGGTTTCGAACTCTATCATTGTTTAATTCATTCATTCATTTAGCTGACGCACTTCTCTCTGAATCTATTACGTCCCAACAACTCGGACTCGGGGCCGAGTCGGCCTCGTGTTCTCTGCTTTTTCTTTTCTTTTTACTCGGGCTTTATTCTTGCTGCTGCTTAGTGGGTCTGTCTCTTGCTGTCTCTTTGCTGGGGCTCGTACTTTGGCTGAGCTGAGGGAGATTCATCTCGATCTGTGAGCGGCTTGGTTGGACGAGGCCGCGGAAGACTCATTCGTACGTGCTTCTCCAACCCCGCCGAGCACACCCCGCTGAGTTAGCCAACTTCCCCTCTCGGACGCGAACCCAGCCTGCTTGCTTGCACGTCAGCCCCGGATCAGCCTGCCTTCCCTTCCCCTTCTTTCTTTTCTGCTGCTCTCTGAATCTCTCTCCAGTCTTTGTTTCTCGTTTTTTTCACCTCAAACACCGGCGCATATATATAATCTCTCTCGTCCCCTTTTATCTTGTTTATCTTTTTTTAAAATAAAATAAAATTGAACGAGCGGATCATCCTCCTCGCTTCCCTCCCAACCCCATACGTTAATCCATTTCCTCTCCTCTCTGGGCCAATTGAATTGGATTGCGCAATCGTAATCCGCCAACGTACGTCAACCCCAAAGAGCTTCTAGACCCACCCCGCACCGAAGTGCCGGTGCCCTTCTCCGTTGGACCGATGGCGAGCGACGGGAAAGGAATGAATGGGAAAGTGAAAGAAAAGGGGACCGCGGTTTCCGGGTTCGGTTTGCGATTGATCGGTCGGAGGAGGGAGGGAGGCGAATCAAGATATCCGGACGTAAGGACGTGAGGAGGAGGAGTAATGCAAGAGTACCGTGTTTGGCTCGAATGTCGATTACCGCTGAGTTCCTCCGCGCTGAGATTTCTGGAGTATCTCGGCTCGGTTACCCCAACTCCAACTCCATGGCACGCTCGCTATTCGGTGAGCATAACCAATCATCCATCTGCTCTCTGCTCGCGGTATAGACGAGAAATCCAACTCGCCTCTTCGCCAAAGAGCTCAACAGTTCGCACATCGCACGGGTCCGGCGATTATTCGGACTGTGCTATCATAAGCTGGGCTGCGTCCGTCGTCCGTCGTCCGTCGTCCGTCGTCCGTCGTCTGTCATCCTTCAACTTCAGCTTCAGGGCTCCGTAGACTCGGTATTTGATTCCTCCTGACGGCAAGATACCATTGGTTCAATTTCTTTCCTTTTCTATTTTTTATTTATTTTTGGTTTAGTGTTTGGGTTTAGTGTTTGGGTTTGGGCTTGGCTTTGGGTTTTGCGACTCGTGCGGGTCGACTGGGTTCATGTGTAAATTTTGGATGCATGATATCCCGAGTAGCGGCAGGCGAATTCACGCCGTCGTAGGCCATGGTGACCGCCCTCCAAATATATAAGAAGTATTTTCGAAACCTCATGAGGGAGGCGGGGGTTCGATTCCTCCCGACGGCATGCTGTTGACAAGGTCCCTTTCTTTTTTGGTTCAGTGTTTGGGTTTGGTTTGGTTTCGCGACTCGTGCGAGTCGACTGGGTTCATGTTTTGGATGCATGATATCCCGAGTAGCGGCAGGTGGATTCACGCCGTCGTAGGCCATGGTGACCGCCCTCCAAATATATTGGACTTTCGACAACTCATGAGGGAGACGGGGGTTCGATTCCTCCCGACGGCATGCCGCATAATATTGGGAAGGTCCCTTTCTTTTTTGGTGCAGTGTTTGGGTTTGGTTTAATTTTGCGACTCGGGCGAGTCGACTCTGATTGTCGGGTTCATTTTTTTTCATTTTCTGCAAGCCAGCTTCGTCTAGCCCTATCTAGTCAGGATGCATAAATTCTCTCCTCGCGTCCGGCCCGGGGTTGGGCTCGCGATTTGAACCACACCATATGCTGGTGAGCGGAAGGAAGTAAATAAAACCGTTGTGGGCCACGGTGGCCACCCCTCCCAAGTGATTCTGTTCGATAACTTTGATCGGGGAAACGAGGTTCGACTCCTCCCGGCGGCATTCTGTTATGTCGGCCAATTTTTTATTTTATTTATTTATTTCTTTCGGCGATAGGTTTGAATTCGGGCTTCAATGTCGAAGTCTGCTTTTCACCAACCACGGAGTGAGGAGCGACTTCGACTTGCCTAGCTTGCCTGTGAATGCTCAAAGCCGAAGATAAGGGGTTGACTTCACGAATCACCACGATTCTCTCTTCGGAATCAGATTTGAACCGAAACTTGAATGCTTATCTCGCCTAGCATTATGGAAAGAAAGCTGTCGTGGCCATGGTGGCCATCCCTACCAATTGAGATATTTTGCGACTGCATAATGTAATGGGGAGACGGGGGTTCGAATCCTCCCGACGGCATGAAGCGTTGATGAGGGCTTTTTGGCCCTTTCTTTTTTGGTTCAATGTCTGGCCTTAGCTTGGTGCGAGTCGAGTTGACTCTTGATTGTCGGGTTCATTTTCATTTTTTTGCAGGCCAGCTTCGTCTGGACCTATCTACTCTGGATGCATTAATAAATAAAATTTTATCTGTCTTCCCATCCAAGACCGGGTTGGGCTCGGTACTTGAATTCCAGTTTATCTCACCTAGCATCAACCAAACGAAGCCGTCGTGGGCCACGGTGGCCGCCCTCCAAATTTTCGGTAGAGGACAGTGAGGTTTTAATGAGGGAGACGGGGGTTCGACTCCTCCCGGCGGCATTCCGTTCCATCGACCTATTTTTTAATTTCTTTCGGCGATAGATTTGAGTTCGGGCTTCAATGTCGAAGTCTGCTTTTCACCAACCACGGAGCGAGAAGCGGCGAGCGCAACTTCGACTTGCCTAGCTTGCTTGGTCAAGGCCAAAGCCAAGATAAGGGGGTGACTTCATGAATCATCACAATTCTCTCCTCGGAATCAGATTTGAACCGACATTTTGCGACTGCACAATTTAATGGGGAGACGGGGGTTCGAATCCTCCCGACGGCATACCACCGGGACTGCTTTTCTTTTTTGGGGGTTTGTCTGAGTCGGCTCTACTCTGAGTGCCGTCATGAAAGCCCGGATGTCAGCTCCCTATTAGTGGAAGCAGGTGTATAAATTATCTCCTTGTGTCTGGGTTAGCCCGCTTGCATTTGATTAAATTCCGAAATTTATCTCATCTAGTATCAACCAAACGAAGCCGTCGTGGGCCACGGTGGCCGCCCTCCAAATTTTCGGTAGAGGACAGTGAGGTTTTAATGAGGGAGACGGGGGTTCGACTCCTCCCGGCGGCATTCCGTTTCATCAACCTATTTTTTAATTTTTTAATTTCTTTCGGCGATAGCTTTGAGTTCGGGCTTCAATGTTCGAAGTCTGCTTTTCACCAACCACGGAGTGAGGAGCGGCGAGCGCAAATTCGGCTTGCCTAGCTTGCTTGCTCAAAGCCAAAGCCGACTTGATGACTCACTACACAATTCTCTCCCCAGAATCGGGTTTGAACCGAAAATTGAATGCTTATCTCACCTAGCATTATGGAAATAAAGCCATCGTGGCCATGGCGGCCATCCCTACCAATTGAGATATTTTGCGACTGCATAATTTAATGGGGAGACGGGGGTTCGAATCCTCCCGACGGCATGCAGCGTTGATGAGGGCTTTTTTGCCCTTTCTTTTTTGGTTCAGTGTCTGGCCTTAGCTTGGTACGAGTCGAGTTGACTCTTGAGTGTCGGGTTCATTTTCATTTTCTTGCAAGCCAGCTCCGTCTAAATCTATCTACTTAGGATGCATAAATAAATAAAATTTTATCTGTCTTCCCATCCAGGACCGGGTTAGGCTCGCTACATGAATTCCAGGTTATCTTACCTGCTGGTATCAAGGAAATGAAGCCGTCGTGGGCCACGGTGGCCGCCCTCCAAATTTGCAGCAGAGACAGTGGGGTTTTAATGAGGGAGACGGGGGTTCGACTCCTCTCGACGGCATGCCGCTTCGGTCAGAATGTTTTTCTCTTTCTTTCGGCGATAGGTTTGAGTTCGGGCTTCATTGTCGAAGTCTGCTTTTTTTGTCAGCCAAGGCGTGAGGAGCGACTTCGGCTTGCCTAGCTTGCCCGTCAATGCTCAAAGCCAAAAATAAGGGGTTGACTTCACGAATCACCACAATTCTCTCCTCGGAATCAGATTTGAACCGAAAATTGAATGCTTATCTCACCTAGCATTATGGAAATAGAGCCGTCGTGGCCATGGTACTAATTGAAATGGTTTGCAGCTGCATAATTTAATGGGGAGCCGGGGGGGTTCGAATCCTCCCGATGGCATGTATCCTCAAGGTTTTTTTTTGCCCCAATTTTGTTACTTGTGCAGACTTGTGCCGTGGTTCTTCTCATTTTCATTCTTGCTTCCAACTTCAAGGTGAGAATCACGATCTCCGTAACTGGTTATCTAGCCGAGAAAATAGCGGGTTCATTACTACACAATTCTCTCTTCACTTGATTAGGTACGTGAACCCCACCATATCCCGGTGAGCATCAAGGAAATCGAGTCGTCGTGGGTCCTGGTGACCGCCCTCCCAACTTGTGGAGTTGAGTCAAATTTTAATGAGGGAGACGGGGGTTCGAACCCTCCGGACGGCATGCCGCGTTGAGAAGGTCCCTTTATTTTTTATCTTTCCATTTTGGTGCAGTGTTTGGTCTTGGCTTTGTGCGAGTCGAATGGGCTCTGGTGTCTGGTTCATTTCCATTTTCATTTCATCTCATTTTTTGCTCGTCTATACCTCACTACTTGAATTCCAGCTTATCTCACCTGGTAATAAGGAAATGAAGCCGTCGTGGCCATGGTGGCCGCCCTCCAAACTTGCCGAGCTAATTTTGGCTGTTAATAGGGAGACGGAGGTTCGAATCCTCCCGACGGCATGTATCGGCTAGCGTTTTGTTTTGCTCCAGCTTTGTCACTTGTGCAGACTTGTGCCATGGTTAATTGTCTTCTGGTCAATGGAGGCCCGAGGTGCGCATGGTGAGCACGGATTACTGAGTAGCTCAAAGCCAAATACGGTCTTCGAGTTTACATTCAAGTCCATGATTTTCTTTTTTTCCGGACCCTACTTATCCTGGTTAGTAAACATTGAGTTTAAGCTGTCGTGGGCTATGGAGGCCGCCCTCTCAAATTCACGGTCAGGTCAAAGTGGAATGAGGGAGACGGAGGTTCGAGTCCTCCCGACGGCGTTACGGGCCAGACCAAGATAGTGCAAAATTGGCAGGGACACCCATAAACTCATGAAAACGTTGTTCTATCCCTGTCTTTTTCTGTTTCGTTTTAGCGTTATCAATAGGCCGGTGGTATTGCGGGATTCTTTACAGCTAATTGCAGTACCGAAGGCGCGGATCGGAAATCTGCTGTTTTGGGACATTTTCAAAGAATTCCCGGTATCTCAGTGAGTTCTACACCGATTCCCTTGAAACCTAGATAGAAATACTCGGCTAATTCGTGCGCAATTAGTGATAGAAAGGAAGTTGCAAAAATAATCTATATTTGGCGAGCTGGGTTTGAGGGGTCATTTTTGGGGTCAATTCAATCTGCCGGTATCTAGGCATGTTGAAATGCCCTAGATTTTTGTGAGACATGGCTTCTATCAATATTGAAAGGTGTAATAGAGTCAGATTTTGAAGGAGTTTGCAGTTGGGTTCAAATGTCACATTGTTTGCTGGTTGCAGTATATTACCGTTGGCTTGAGGCCATTACAAGCATGATAAAGTAGGATATTGAACATTCTGACTCTATCACACCTTTCAATATTGATAGAAGCCATCTCTCACAAAAATCTAGGGCATTTCAACGTGCCCAGATACCGGCAGATTGAGTTGACCCCAAAAACGACCCCTCAAACCCAGCTCGCCAAATATAGATTATTTTTGCAACTTCCTTTCTATCACTAATTGCGCACGAATTAGCTGAGTATTTCTATTTAGGTTTCAAGGAAATCGGTGTAGAACTCACTGAGATACCGGGAATTCTTTGAAAATGTCCCAAAACAGCAGATTTCCGATCCGCGCCTTCGGCACTGCAAAGCTGTAAATATTTTGTGATGTCCGATTCAATCTTACGCGGATACAACTAGGATACAACTCTGCCAAACCATCTTTCTCCTCATTTCTCGATGGTCGCCAACTGGAAGGTTTCAACAGTAGAACTGGCAAGCGAGCGGGACAGTCGGGACTGAATAGGGGACTGGTAAGTAGGATTGACAGTTCGGTTTTCGATGGTGTCCTGAATGTCGTGTCCCAGGCCTACGTGCACAATTATTAATGTCGGTACGGTGTTCTGCAGACATGACAGGTTAACATTCACTGCGTTCAAGGCCCCCCTAGCCTCAGTCTGGAAAGGGGTGTATAGGTCTGTAAAGGAATGCCCAGGAGGCTAAACAGAGTCTGTGTAGGTCTACTAGACTGACCTGATCACAATTGTGGCAAAGTGTGCGTAGTGCCTGGCCAGTTGTGTATAGGTCACCTAAGCTGACCATGTGTAGGCCAGTGCAGGTACCTAAACTCATCTCTACCCAACTACACTGGGGTCAGTCCCGTGTTTATTCAACCAAAAATTAAATTTCCAAACATTTCCGACTGTATTCCAAGAAGGTGAGTCTAGGAAGCTGGGCAGACCTAGCCTGACATATACATAGCTTGGCAGACCTACGCACATCTACACACAACTACACAGAACTAGACAGAGCTAC